TGTGGGCTTGTTGAAATCGGGCGATACTATTTCACTAAAGTTGGCCAACTGTATAAAATACCTTATGATGTCGAGCATTACGCCTGCATGATTGACATGCTCGGTCGAGGGGGATTTTTGAATGAGGCGCTCGAGCTTGTCGGGAAAATGGAAATGAGGGCTGATGTGGTTATATGGGGTACTCTGCTTGGCGCGTGTAAAATTCACCGAAATGTGGAAATAGCAAAAGTGGTACTAAAGCAAGTGTTGGAATCGGAAACTGGGGGCACTGGGGGTTTGTACGTGCTCATGTCGAATATATTCAGCGAGGCCCGAAAATGGGACGAGGTGAAGAAGATGAGGAAATTGATGAATGACCGTTTTGTCCGGAAGCTGGACGCCGTTAGCTCTATCGATGTCGACGGCTGCATAAATAGTTTCATGGCCGATGACAAGAAACACGAAGCTTCTAATCGTATCTACTTAATGCTCGACCAAATGAAGGATCAGTTAGAGTGCTTGAATGATGTGTGTGGTCCTAGTGAAGAACTTCTTGGGTGCTGTTGAGATTTACAGCTAAGGAACTTAGTAATGGGCAGAAATTCGTATGTGGACAGACAATTCTTGAAGTACAATTGAGTGCTGTTGATCGTGTGATGCTGGATAATCATGTTTCATGTGGAAGCAATGTTAGAACTTAGTGGACCTTTTAACACTAATTGATGTGAACTGTACATATGTTCTTTTTGGTTTTTTTTTTTAAGTGTAAACGGTCTTTTGGCATATGATATATCCCACAGGCCATTTTTTTTGGCCAGACAGCATGAAATTACTTCTGTTTTTTTTGTACTAAAATTCCTCAGTCAAGCACAACTTGTATTTTTCTTTTTATTTTTCTTTTTTGGGTTTGTTTTGTGTAACTGTGTTTTTACTATTGCTCTATTTTTATCGAGCATTCAATGAAGCAATCGTGAACGCTCTGTATGGTTGATATTTTTTTATTTGTTTATTTGCTTATTAGAGCACCCACAATGCTTTGGGTTTCTTAGAAAAAAGTTACATGCCATGTAAGAAATAGACCTAGTCTATAAAAAAGTGT